CTTATGACGTGAATCATGAACTTGTGCCGCTACTGAATTTAATTCTTCCTTAAACCCTAAAATCGCCTTTTCGAGCCATTTAAATTCTAATATCACTTTTTCTTGTCCTGTTTCTTCATTATATTCTTCTACCTTACGCTTCTGTGACTTTCTTTGGGAATCACTATTTGACTTGTCATGACAGGCTTATCTTTATTTAGGTTTATGGTAATGAATAAGGTGCCTTTTTACAACATCTCGATTGCTGTACCAAGTCTCTCAAAGTTTGAGTTTATAACTCAACATCCACTGTTTCCTGCTGGTTCGATATAAGCGAAGCTATCTCATTTTGCTTATTGTCGATGTCAACATTTTCCTCCAAGAACAAACTTCTCTCATGTTCTCTTCCAGCTGAAAAGGTCTTTAATCTCTGCAAAAGGTCGGCCTTTACTCCATCCGTATGCAACCCTAATCCCACACGAATTGCCTCCAAATCACCTTTTGAGACGTTGGAATCCACAGAGGCCATTACACGAGGTAAAATAGATATAGACTAATTTTATTTTGATTATCTAACAGAAAATAACTTAATGATGCGACATGACACGGTAACAAAGACGAAAGAGCCAGAACAAGATCGGGTAGCGAAGGAATGAAAACACTAATGGATCTACAATCAACAAAGCCACAGATCTGAGATCCGGAGATCCTCGTGATAATAGCCCTTGCACGACTATCGTCAGTGCATCGGGCCAGAATAGACTTCTTATCTTTTAGGGAAGGTGTATTTATTTAATAAAGAAGCTCTACTCCGATATCAACTCCAAAATTAGAAAATTCAAATAGAAAATGATAATGCATGTATAACCCTCACCGTTGATCTATACACGTGTTGTTACCCCGATGGATCATTGTCCCATTTGTCAGTGCACTTATACACTAGTAAAACTGGATATGGTTAAACCTGCCAATCACGTTAACGTTGGAATAAAGCCTTTACGTATTAATATAAATAGTACGGTCACGCCATGTACATGTGAAGCGAGAGAACTAACTACCCGTTATTATTTGTTAATTTTTGAATATGTCGCTTTTTAATTTCATGTTCATCACACATTGTAATCATATCCCGTAACAATCCCACAACTATCTCAATTACTTTTTTAGCGCCCTTCCTGATTTATACATGCTGTATACAGTATCAAATTCTACGTATCCACATGTTTTTCAAAGTAATCTCTAGACCTCTCCATGGCTGAAAAATAACGATGAGGCATGTGGTTTCTAATAAAACCTGACAACAGAGACTCGAATGGACCAAACATCGCCGCATTGTAATCATTCTTCCCTCCTGAATTACATGGTACTAAACTTCTAACAAACTCGTAAATCGAATATCTGCTTCTCGGCCTACTGTCCCTCGCACGTCTTTGTTGCAGAACATTCGAAAGGTTACTCCACGTTACATTCCTATTAATCTGAGAAACATCTTTTATTTTTCCAAAGATGTCTCTATGACTTTCGGGCTTTCGGTCGTGTTGATAGAATTTTACTGCATCACCAATGTGAAAATAGTTAAAAACATCATTTTTCTCGAGATATTGTCGAATGCGAGGACAGGATAGCATTGGAGGCAAATTAGGGGCAATATCATATTCGTTGATAACACGCCAGAGCGTTCGATTATCAGAAAAACGGATATTAAGATGACTATTAAATTCCGAAAAGAAGTTGTTATCTCCCACCGCTGGACCCGCGAAGACGAATGCATCTCTCATGACAGCGTAACGTCCAAGGTCGTTTGTTTTTACAAGTCTGAGGTATTGTGATAAAAAAGATAAACAATGTATCATTTACGTTACATAGTAGCAATAAATTTAACGCTTACCTTGCGTAGAAAATTTGAGCCAGGGCAGCACCAAGCGAATGTCCGGCAACCCAGACATTCACTCGCCGAATTTTTCCCTCTGCATCATTATCATCTCCGTCGTCCTCGCGATCAGCCATGGCAATTTCTTTAGCTTTTTCGCGTATAGCTTCAACTATCCTACGAGAAGGATAGGACCCGAACACTCTTGATGTAGCATAATTGTCCTCGGGAAACAGGCAATTATAAAATCCACTATGAATTTCTCCAAAAACAAAGGAGTGCGCGTCAATGCGGTTAAACAAAAAATCTGTTAACCATTCGGTAAAATTTGTCACTGTAGTGCCTTTAAATACTACAATAATGAAGTTATCATTTCTATTTTTTGACCAATACATTCCGGCGAAATGAACACCGAGGCAACCAAGTTCCGAGAGGGGTTGGAACTCTAGTCCCCACTCATCTGCATACTCACGAATTTCTTGAACGGAAACGTTGAGTAAACGATTAACTTCTTCCAAGTCTTCAGTCGTAGGTTTATCATAACCTCTTTCCTGGAGGATTTTATATGCATCATAAACTGCATTAACATCTCTATGGTATATGATCGTGCATAGGAACAAAATTGTTTCGACCATATCAAGTTTAAATGTCGGTGACATTGTTAATCTAGGATCTTGATCAGGAGGAGGTTGCCCTAATAACTCTATGCCATTCTCTCTGATTTTCTTCAGACCTAAAATGCAAAAAATGTTAGCTAAATTGAGTCGAGTTTCTTCGGAGAACGCGTGATCTACTCACTCAAATCTGGTCCTGCGATTTTCTGCCATATATTTTCATCGTAAGGCTTGAAGTTATTAAACCATGGAAAGTTACCCAGCCTTAGAAAGTTAACAACCCTCAAAAAGAAGTCAAATGGCAAAAGAATTAAAATACAGAGAGGGTAGAGTACAACAATGGCTAAAAAATTGAGTGGACGGCTAATTGGCATTGTAAGGTCGGTTGATAACGTGAATAACAGGTGGACAAACATGTTTCGAATGAAGGAAAAGAATGTCACGGTTGGATAGAAGATGCTGGATGGAGGGATTTTGGCGGGAGGGATTGTGATTAGATCATGGAAATAGCATTGGGATAAAACTGGCACGATTTCTTCGGGAGGTTCGATAGTTTCGTGAAGGTTGTTATTAGGCTCCATTTTGGAAAAATACAAAATTATAGTGGTAGGAGTCAAGACACTCGCAAAAAGAAGGAATGCATCAATTTATATTCAACTTTTATGCATTATATCTTCATTTAAGTACAAGTTGATTGATAAATAAACCATTAGCTGACGAAAATAGATTTATTAATATGATTTTATTTGCATCACTACTGACTGATAGTTTCCTGCTTGTACCATCAAGCATCTGATGCGTTTGCATTGTCAAGAATACGCGATAGTTATTAGAAGATGGTGTATACATTATTCATGGTAAGAGTTGACAATTATTATATTTTGTCGTATTGAATGCCCTATTTAGAGTTTCTTTTACGATTTTCATGATTTAATAAGATCACGTGATTATGGTTACTTTTAAACTTATAATTTATACTTCTTGATGATTATTCATTATTTAAAATGAATTAAAGGTAAATAAAATTATGGGCATTTATTTTTAACGAGAATTATTATAAAGTTATTAATTTAATCAAATAATTTTATTATTCTTGAAATTTATTTAATCGCAATCTTTTTAAATATCTTTTTTAATTAATTATCAAAAAAATCATATAAATTTTCATATAATCAAATTTTAAAGATCAAAATTAATTTCAAGAAATAAATAAGCGTCATTTATATATTATAATATACAGTGTATCGTATATTAAAAAAAAAAATTTTTTTTCTTGTTAAATTTAATTTTATTTTAAAAAAACAATGCTTAATTTATTAATCAAAATGAGGAATACCATCAGATTCTTTAAACATATCTTTAAATAATATTAAAAATATAAACTTTGGCTATTAAAATTAAAATAGTTAAATTTTTAGAATAAAGCTTTAACTTAAAAGATATAATTTTATTTCAATAATATTTTATAAATTCTTAAAAACATTAATTATTGATTCAATATAAATCTTAATAATATTAACTAAAAAATATTTTTTTATTTTAAAATATTTTATAAAATATTAATATTTTAAATTACTAATATATTAAAAAGGATTTAACTATAATTAAATTTATTTTAATAAATTAAATTATGAAATCTGTAAAACTATTAAATAGATCTAATTTTAATATGTAAAAATATAATATTTAAAAAAATAAAATTTAAATTATTTATAAATAATAAAAATAAAAATTATATATTTTAAAAAAGACTTTATAAAATTATTAAACTACAACTGGTATTAGATACAAGCTTTTTATTGATAATTAAATCTTAAGTATTATATCAATCATCTTATACATACAGTATATATGCAGATTAACAATAATCTATTATAGCTTGTCCTAGGCAGACCTGCTTGAAACCTTCCTTTAGGTGGGTATACCTGACTAGAGGCCAGATGGTTGATAACAGTCATTAACAGTGATATTGGTATAATTAGCTAATTCTGTTAATAAGGAACTATACTACTATGCTAACTTATATACTAGTGTCAAATCTTCAAGGGTTAATTTTAACCACTCAGATACCCTGATATTTTTCATTTGAACCTTGGAAGGGATTTCTATCTTCTTTATCATCACCTGTGGCATTACAGACAAGTTCTGTTCAATAGGTCCTTCATTTAAGCAAGCACTAAATTGAGATATTTCAAGTTAGAGTAGTCAAATTCCAGATTCTGCTGGTACAGTTTGGGATAGAGAATGTTCAGATGATTGCACAGTCCTAAAAGCAGGGTCCCAGGTTCTGTTGGTAAATTTTGGGGTTAGTAATATGTTCTGACAATTACCGCAGTCCTAAAAGCGGGGTCCTAAAGTTTGTTTTCTGTTCAGTTCAGGAGAGGTTAGGTTAGACATATTCATGTAACCAGACCAGAGGCCTTTCTTCATGCAATCCTCATAGTAGATCCTTTTCAGTCCGACAATTAACAGGGAGGCCAGAAGTCCCATCCTTGTGCAACCTGGTTATTTTTCTCACATAGCTCTTGTATGATATTGAACTCTAGATCTTGTGATTACAACCTGGGAGCACTACCACTATGCTATAGATCCACAGATAGACTTTATAAAATTATTAAAAATTGATTTTAAAATATATATTTAATTATAATAAATTTTTATACTTTTTATTAAAACAAATAAAAAGTAATATTTTTAATATAATTTTATAATTATTAAAAAATTTATTTTCAAAAAAAACTTATTTATTTAAATATTTATATATTTTTTTAAATTTATAAAATTAATTCAGTAATAAGCTCTTTTATTAATTCCTTAAATACTATACTGTATATTTAAAAAAATATTTGAATAAAAATTTTAATATTATTTATAAAATATATTAAAAAGTGTATTCAAAAGTTAATACTATTATTTTTTTCATACTTTTAATTAAAATTTTAATTTTGAATAATTAAAAAAAGTTTAATATAACAATTAATATTAATAACAAAAATATTTATAAAAAAATCAACTATTTAATATTTAAAAATCTTTTTACTTTAAAAAATATTATTATAAAGTTTTATTGTAGTAAAAACTTATTTTTTTAAAAAAAAAATATTTATACTCTTTTAAAACTTTTACTTTTATAATTTATAAATTTTATATATTTTAATTCAATTATTTTTTTTAAAAAAAAATTAATGGTCCAGCCTTGCTTTATTTGAATTTAATAGAGAGAAATATATTGTTATAATATAACTATTTTTGTTTATCAAATAAAGTTTGATAAAAATTTTTTATCTTATACCTTGTTACTGTTCTTTAGAAAAAATTTATTTGTCAAACTGGACTAGTGCTATATAAAATTTTTAATTTTTTTTTTTTTTTTTTTTTTTTTTTTAATGCTGGCTTAGCCTTACTTTATTTGGATTAAGTAGAAATATACATATAGTTTATACTATAACTATCTATGTTAATCAAATTAGTTCGATAGAAAAACTCTCCTCGCAGCCTGTTGCCATCCTAATGGGAGCTAACCAGTCAAGGCTGGGCTAGTGCTATATAAAATAGTAAATATGTGGGAGGGGTGTATAATGTTTTTTATGTATTTTCCTATGTAATTGTTTACTAGATCTATATATTAACCTTTTATATGTTGTTCAAATATGTTGAGCTGTATACTTTTTTATGGGGTATTGTATATGGTTGTTCTTTCAATTTTCTGTGTAATATCTTGCAGTTTTTTCCATTTTTGAAATTCTTCACATCTTTGGATCCAGATGTTGTAGAGATATTCGCTAGTCTCTTGTCTAATTTCTTTTATGCATTTATATATTTATTGTTTGTTCAATACACATCTGGCTACTAGGTTGTGTGTTTCTTTGGGTATAGCTTCTTTAATGATGCATTTAAGGTATTCAGTGTACTTTAGAAAATTGTTTTTTAAGTAGTTATTGATTTGTACCTCTGTGTTTTTTATCCCACTATATTGTTTAACTTTGTTAATAATTATATTTATTATGTGCTCTTCTGTTCTCTATCGTTGGTCCTAACATATGAAAAAATGTGTGTTTGTCTCTTTGGATCTGCAAAATATGCATTTGTCATCTTTGTACAAGTTTGGCAGTCTCTGATAGAGTTTTGTTTTTGTTGGGAGTTCTTCATTCCATAGGCATAAATTGAATCTTCTTTGTTGTTGATCTGTCCAGTTGGTACGTTTTTCGCTCATTCTAGTTGATTGTAGATTGGTCAAAGTTGTATCCCAGTATATGTGTTTGATGATCTGATCACTGAATTCGATTTTTGTTCTGTTTAATAGTCTTCATCTGACTAGGTGTGTTGCCTTAATCAGTTCTTTGACCATGGTTTTGATGGGAACTTCAGGTGTATTGTTGTCCCATTGAGGTAATAGCGTAAATTGTGAGTTTTTTGTAGGGTAGATGTTAATTGTTTTGTGTCTTGGTGTCATTCCTTGGTGCATATCTATTTTGGCTAGTTTGTCTACTTGTTTATTGTATTTGTTATCTGTGTAAGCCTTGACTTTAATGAGGTCGATCTTCATATGGTTATCAGTAACTATATCTTTGAGAGGTAAGAGAATCCCCAAGTTTTTTTGTTTACGCAAGTTGTGTATATGATTTTTTTTCATTACTTTATGAATGCTATTAATTGTTGCTTGGCTATCTTGTGTATGTTGACTCTGCTATATGAGGGGAGTGTACTGATTGCTGTAAGTATAACCATTAATTCTGCTCTAGTCGATGAGGAAAAGTTTTCTATCTGTCCTTGAAATTGGAATTCTTGATTGTTTCTGGTTATTATTATCCATCCAAAGCCCATATAATATTGATTGCAGTAGTATAACATGGATCCATCGGTGTATATCTCAAAATTTATTTTATTTTGTATTTGTTTTGTGATTGTAGTTAGTTCTTTGAGGATGAGAGGTGTTGCAGCCAATGTCTTCCTAATCTGTTTGGATACCTTGTTCTCAGTAGGTATTTGTACTTTTACTGTATGATTTGTTGGTCTGTGTTCCTGTTCTGTGAGCGTTGTCAAGATTGAGTTAGGTAAAGCTCTGTTTCTGAACATGTTGTCTGCCTTCATAATATTTGGTCGTGTTGAGATTTTACTTCGTTGTACTAGAATTGTTACTGTATTTTGCCTACTGGCTATGAAGATATATGTAGAGTTGAATTGGGTCTATTGATTTATATTACATCCTGTGCATTCATTTAAGGGAGATTCGCCAGGTACCTGTGTATAGTGCCTGTAGACTGTTGAATTATTATCTATCTTCCTTTGTTTTTTTGCCAATGATTAGTTCTGTATTTTTTTCTATTGCTATCCAATGTGGTTTTGCTGTTGATGTGTCTGTTGTTGATATGCATTGTTGAAAACAATTGATTTGCCCTTGTTTGTCAGTTATCCATGTGTGCAATTTGTATTGTAATGTAAAGAACCATAATGAGTGGGACCTGGTATTGATTTTCAGTAAATTCTTATAATTTGACACCAGTATAGCAGTTTCTCTCTTTTACTATTGAGAAGTTGTCCTGTGAACAGAATGTTGTATTTTTTTAAGTTGGGTCGAATTCTTCTATAAAATTTTGAATCTGTTATTTCTTCGATTGTAGTGTCTACCATTTTTATGATTTTGAAATCACCTGCTTGGACTTTGTGAAAAGTGAAACCATACATTCTAAGCATCCAGATTATGTTGTGTGTAAGATTTCTTTCTAGTTCTAGAAAGGGAGCTTGTATATGGTTGTATATTTCTTTGGTTGATCAAAACATATTCTGTATTAATTGTAATCGATGATGTGTTATGTCTCCTGTAATATTGTTTTGGTCTACTCTAGTGTACCAGTTATTGGCATGTAGCTGTACTTGTCTATTCCATATGTGCATTATGTTGTATTCATGTTTGTTGTAGAGCATACTGTTGGATACTGTGTTGGTGAGTCCTATTTTGTATTTAAATATTGTTGTCAGTTTGCTCATTAACTGATTACAAGTTTGTCTGATTAAAACTATATCATTGCATAGGTATTCTATACTGGACATCAGGACATAATTGATTATATATTGTGCTTGTTTGTCAGTAATCCTTTTTATTTCAATTAGTGTGCATGTACAAGATACCTTCTGTTTTATTAGAAATTTTTGATAGTTTTTGCGTCCTGAGCTGTCATACCATATTTTTAGGATTCTGACTGATGTGTTGGGAGGGCATTCTTGTATTTTTTGGTTGTTCATCAGTACTTCTTTTTCTAGGTCTTCCTCTGTACCATTGATGATGATCAGCTATGACTTTTTAGGATTAATTTTGATGTCATTGATATGGTAAAATTCTTCTGCTGTGTATATG